GAGGAAAGTTTGTGCAAAGTGCCTTTCCCAAGGACACAACGTCGGGCCCCTGACGGGATTCGAACCCACGACCTTACGGTTGCGAGATGCTGAGAGATAAGCAGTCGAATCGATTTTTTAATCGTATTATTCAAGGTGATATGTTGTTGTTATTTTTCCCCCTTTTTACTCTAATAAAAGTACTGACGTGAAATGACTACTTGTTTCTTTTGGGTTGTTTTTTTTTAATTGGCGAACCATGACTGCCGAAGTTCACATCTAGCACTTAGTCTTTAAGATGAAATGATATATAAATGCACCTCGAAGATCTACTCCATCTGGGAACCGTAGGACCATTACCGTAGGACCATTACAGTCAATTTCAGTACACAACTACTCCAGAGCTTAGGTTTATCTCGGGAGAAACGATAATTTTACTTCGTTCTTCAATATTTTGTGTCTTTTTAATTATTATTGCAAATTGCATCCAGGACCAAAGAATGGTCCCCAGGGAGCTGTAATCTCTGTCGAAGCATCAACTGCAGAGATAACTGCCCAATTAACCAAATCTAGGTCAGTCTAAATCAATATATTTTTGGTATTATGGTCATTCCTAGTGTTTCTACAGCGTTCGTTACACATTTTAATCAGGCTCAATGCTGCTGTCTTGAACAAGAATACAGAATAATTAGCATCGTGCCACAGATTATCAATACTATCACGATCTGTGCTATACCGTTTTTGTTTTGTTTGGTTTTGTTGCTGTTGTTGTTGCTGTTTTGTTTGAATATAGACTTATTTTTTTGCTCTAACTGAATTCGCAATTTCCGTGTCTTTTAAAGAAACTCGACAATTAAAGTCTTTTACGACATGTAAAGTCTAAGAATGACTGGAATATGACTTAGTTTAGTATGGGGTTTTACCGCGCTCGCAACTGCATAAGGTTATATGGGCGCTCTGGAATATGACTTTCACAGTTTGCTTTGTGCTTGTAACTTGTAACACAGTGTGTGCCCCACCCCCACCCCTCCCCTCCCAAAGCCTTATCTTTAAAAAATGCACTAAAATTCCTAACTACAGAAACAACAACAGCAACAACAGAAACAACAACAGTAACAACAACAACAAAATGAATACCGAGTAAAGCCGACGCAAACTATTACATACAAAGCAAGAACAAAAAACGAAGACAGCAAAGACAGTGCAAAGCGGTTATCTGGCTGTGAAATGTCGAGCTGAAAAAATAGACAGTGTCACGTGCAAAGACAACAGAATCCACCCAAGTGCCAGGGGAGAGAACAAAACTGTCAACAATAGTTAACATAACCCATAGACGACCTTGCGTCTTCGCCCTCTGCTAGTGCCACCTTCATTTTCTTTTCTTTTTTTTTAAGCAAGAGTTTTACGACGCGTGCAATAAAGTTAGATCATATGAGCGCCGAAGATTAGAGGCGGTACAAGAGAGTGAAAAACACAAATAAATAGGAGGAGAGATAAGGAATATAGATGTTTGTTAAGTGTAGGAAAGAAGGAGCAAACCACACCGGAGCACCCGCTAACCATCCACTTTTGGTTCTTTTGAGACAATAGTCTCTCGTTACTTCCTCAAACACAGCCGTAGAATACTACTTTGTCTAGGTAACGTTTAGTCCTCCTTTCAGAACTTTGTCGACCTAGCGTACACACATCCAGGTCTCTATTCAATAGGGGGCGTTTGAGTTGCCTTTATGTCCTTCGCAAAAGACACTTATTTTAATAATAGGAAAAGAAGGAAGGGGGTAGTGATTTAAAAGTTACTTCAACTGAAATTCTTATTGCCGTTTACTCTGGGCTACAGACGTACTTTCGAAAGAGACTTCACACGCAGTTTTCCCAACTTATATTTTTATATCCACCCTTTCGAACTTAGTCTTCAAAATACCCTCTTAATATTTTTTTAAACCAACGTGCGCGCGCGCGCGCGCACACACACACACACACACACACACACACACACACACATATATATATCTATCTGTAATAAAAATCGCGAAT